CCGAGCAGGGAGCCCGATGTGGGACTCGATCCCAGGACCCTGGGATCATGACCTGGGCTGAAGGCAGACGCTTAACGACTGAGCCACCCAGGCGCCCTTAGACTGATGTCTTAATAACTATAGATGTAAATGTGTGTAGATTTGTATGTATGTGCACATACACATATTCCAAGATTCCTAATCTCTGTCCACTTTGTGGTCCTGGGAGCATTGATACTGCAAAAGCAGTAAGAACTCCTAGGGCCGAGAACTTGGCTTCTAAATACCATTCTTAAAGGAACCAGAAGTCCTTGTAGAAATGGATGATTCCAGGCCTGGGACAAAGAAAGTACAAATGAGCTTGAAACATCTTATACCACAAAACAAGGAAATGCTCAAAGAATGATGAGATGAGTCAAAGGACACAAGAACCATTTTGAACAGTCTCCCACTGGCCCAATCTGTGTCAGTTTGAACTTCAAATAAATAATTATAGTATTGGATTATAACTTATCGAATAAAATGAACAGTGAGTTCATACTGATAAAAATACATGAATGAATAAAAGTCTCAAAGTACATCACCATGGAATATTATTAATTACATAGGGAAAAGAGTAACTTCAGAGTTGAGAAGACTGGCAGAAATCATCTCAATCAAGTGATCAGTGTAAACATAACCAGTAAGAGAACAAATTGCATTCATGTACCATTTAATAGGAAAATAACATAACTTCTGTGATATTTTTACTAAAGATGCATAACCTAGATGAGTCATGAGGAAACACCAGACAAACCCAAAATGATGCATGTTCTACTGGACCATAGTTTTCTAGTATCAAGATCATGAGAGTTAAGACTGAGACACTGTTCCAGAGTGAATGAGATTAAAGAGACATGGTAATTAAGTACAACACTTGACTCCAAACAGGATCTATTTACTGTAAAGAACATTACTGGAGTGAGGATTATAGTATTAATGTTTCAGTACTAATTTTCTGATTTTGATGGTTGTACTGCAGTTATGTAGAGAATGCCTTTTTTTTGGTAGAAATACATACTAAAGTATTCAGGGGTGGTGGGGCATTATTAGCTTGGTAACTTACTCTCAAATGGTTTAAGAAAAAAGTTCTTTGTACTATAACTGCGTTTTTTTCCCCCTGTACGTTAGATTGTTTTAAAATGAAAAGTATATGTATATACAAAAGAGGTAAAAAATGAAAATAAAAGGAGATGAAAAGATTTTCAGTTATGGGCACAAGGAGGATTTTATGGAGAAGGAGGCATTTGAATGGAAACTTGAAGGATCGGAGGATCTGGTTGAGCAAATCCTTCTAGGCAGAGGATGCATGTGGGCTGTGTGGGCTAATTGAATCTCCTGCTCAGCCACACACACACACACACACACACACACACACACACACACACACGCACACTGCCACTGCCTTGGTTTAGATTTATCATTTCTCGCCCAGACTATTGCAGCAGTCCCCTAACAGATCTTCCTTCCTCCAGACAAGGAGCCTAGAGCCTACCGTGAGTTTTAAGCCAAGGATTTATGATGAGAAGGTGTATGGTAGCATGGGAGGGACTTGAGAAAGAAGGAGAATATTTTTTCTCCAGGAAAGTAAACCCTTCTACTGAACACCAAGGAAGTATCCAACCTTGCTAGAGAATTTCTACATCATAGAGCAAGCTGTGAAGTGCAGCAATGATAACGAACTGGCTAATGAGAAACAGCAGCTGTAAAACAAGCTTTAGCCTTCTTACAGCCTCTTTTTAGAAAGCATTTTCTTTTTTTTTTTTTAAAGATTTTTATTTATTTATTTGAGACAGAGAGAATGAGAGAGAGAGAGCACATGAGAGGGGGGAGGGTCAGAGGCAGAAGCAGGCTCCCTGCCGAGCAGGGAGCCCGATGCGGGACTCGATCCAGGGACTCCAGGATCATGACCTGAGCCGAAGGCAGTCGCTTAACCAACTGAGCCACCCAGGCGCCCCTAGAAAGCATTTTCTAACGAGGGCTGTTTACCTAATCTACCTGCTCTGGGAACCAGCATCTAGCTTTTGAAATAAAAGCTATATGTAGGCATTACAGAAATTTGTGATGGTAAAAATAGAAAATGAGAAGTAAAAATTATCCATCATCCCACAACTCTAATAATCACTGGCAAATTTTCTTCTTCTTTAAAAAAGATTTAATTAATAGTTAACTAACTAATTAATTAATTTAGAGAGAGTGTGAACAGGCGGAGAGGCAGAAGGAGAAAGAGAACCTCAAGCAGATTCCACACCAAGCATGGAGCCTGACGTGGGGCTTGATCCTATGACCCTGAGATTATGACCTGAGCTGAAATCAAGAGTCAGACACTTAAAGTGACTGAGCCACCCAGGCCCCCCTCACTGGCAAATTTTCTTCCATATTCCCCCACCCAGCTCCTGCCCCACTCCTCACACACTCAGAGATATATGGGATAATTCTCTGCCTCTGTGTGTGTGTGTGTGTGTGTATTTAATTTTACTTAATAATTATATTGTAGTCATCTTGCCCAGCCATGAAGTGATCTTTGAAAACATGATTTCTGAAATTATAGATATGCTATTATTGCTAGAAATTTAGATTTTTCCTCTATAATAAATAGTGCTGCAATGACATCTTTTTTTGTGTCATTTTCCTAAGATAACTCCTCAAAGGGTAATTGAGTCAAATGCTAAATATTTCAGGATTTTCATACAAATGGGAAAACTGCCCTCCAAAAATAATATATCAATGTACACAACC